ATGATGCAGTTACATATGATCATTTTCGATTACCTATTGTTTAGATATTGGTCTTTTGTGAAACACGATCTTGATGAAATCTTAAAGTATAAGGACGATACTTTCATTAAGTAAAACATATGTTGGTGAACTTTCTCCTTTAAAATATCGAATCGCGCTCATGCACTTCACATTTTAATTGCAGAGAAATTTTTCAATTGATGTGTTTTTATAAATAAGACAAACGTTGCAAGTTCATCACATATGGATACACATAAGCCCAAAATACCTAAGAGAACAAGACGAAGAAAGTTCGTATAGAACTCAATGATAGTTCTTGAAATTTCGTCTCTATTCAATCGTATTCTAAGGCAAGCAATTAGAAAAAAGAATAATCAGAAGATGAAATAAAATGATGATTTATATTTTCTTAGGTCACATCCAATTTATAAAACATCTCTTTCTGTATTCTTTTGTCTTGGTATAAACATTTTACTCTAAGATTTGTGAGTGTGGATGTGAATTTGTATAACAGAGAAATATCAGGATCTACGCCCACCCTGCCGGAGACAGACCTGTACTCACAGATGAAAACTTATTTTCCTGTTTTTTATTGCGCCCACTGTTGGGACCACAAGTTTAATGTTACAAGTCCAATCCACTCTCCACATGATTGAAGAAGAGGATGATTTGATGGTAGTGAGCACTGTCTAATTTCAAGAGCACGTTGAAAGAACAGACGTGCTTTTGAGTACTCTTTGGTGCTGTAATACATCACACCAGTGTTAGAATAGGACACAGCCAAATCAAGTTGATTTGATGGCAGAGTTTTTAGTCGGATTTCCAGTGCTTCTTTGTAGAATAATAATGCTTTGGAGTGATCACCAATGTTTTCGTACACCGCTCCCATGTTATTGTATAATTTAGCAATGTCTGGATGGTTGTTACGGAAAATTTTACAATAAATTTCATGTGCTTTTTCGTAAACTGGAAGTGCTTTCAAATAATTATTCATCTGGTAATGCAATCCGCCGATATTATTATATGATGCAGCTAAATCAGGATGATTTGAAAGAAGAGTTTTTTTTCGAATTTCATGCCCCTCTTTTCGTAATATAGTAGTGCTTTCAAATACTTCCCTGTATTTTGATACACCGAACCAATGTTGTTGTAGGTAGTAGCTAACCTAGGATCATCGAGAGTGAGATTTTTATGTTGGATTTCAAGTGCTTTTTGATAAAACAATAATGCCTTAGCATTGTCATCGATCGCTAGATACACTGAACCCATGTTGTTATAAGAAGTAGCCAATTGGTGATAATACTTAGAAGGAGTTCTTTCGTAAATTGCAATTGCTTTTTCATCAAATGAAATTGCTCCAACGTAATCGCCTTGCATGTCTTAATCAAACCCATTTGACCATAATGGTATGCCACAGCAGTCTCATCGAGTGTTTTCTGATCGAGTAATACTCGGAACACTTCTTCTACCTTGTGATATTGTCCTAGTGTAATTAAGAATCTAGTCAATCGATATCATCCTCTAGATTTTCCAGTCTCTTCTCTCATTTTTTCTATGAGAGCATTGAGCAACGGGTCTGTATTACTTGTCAACTCAAGGTTTACTTGCCAAAGTCGATTACTATCATCAAGATTTTTAATCTCACCAATGCGAAAGACACTGTGCGTGTCGAAGAGAATCTCTTGTTCTGACTGATAATGACTGCTCATACCAATATGAGCAAAAGCCGCTGTGGAGATAGAAGTATCCACAGTAATTTGAAAGAAGACTCCTATCAAACTAGGATTGTCTTTACTACTTTCAGCATAGGCAAACGAGATACTTTGATCTTTACTCGTAGATAAGAAATTATTAAATGACATCAGTCCGCCTTTCGTTCTTGTTAATTTGTCAAAGTCTATTTTCGACAAACCTTGACCTCGATAGACAATCAAGGAGACTTGCCGATTATCGAATTGCTTCGAGTGCATTTTAGCGATGTGTTGATGAAGATCGTGGATGAAGAAACCCATCTTGATGATGGTATCAACTTCTTGACTATGAAGCGCTCGGTTAAGCATTGAATACAGAAAGCACTCGTAAGTGTACCACCCGATAGGTGACTTCTGACGATAATTTTTTTGAACTCAATGATGTTTTTTAATTCATGATCGTTTTCGGCGTAATGGAGACAACAATATGCGGCCATATCTTCGATGGACTGTTCATCATAGTCAATTTCGAACAATATCTCTTTGAGAATTTTCGTGTACATAAACGATTGATCAAGTTCATCTAAGTTTTGTTTGAATGGTGCACTAACGGGAACAAAACTGACAGGGATTTCATTTCGATCACATCGATTGGCTGTTTCTTGAAGCGATTCACAGATCAGAGTGATATCTGTAAAGACACCCATCACCTTCGGCCATTTTTGCGCCCATTGATCATGTTCTGCCTTGCTCTCACAAAAGACGAAGATAGCATTGAGCTGTGGGACATCATGAATAACAGGAACTATAAGTTGGCCTAGACTACCAAATAAAAGCAAAAATACCTTTTCATCTATAATTTCGGTAAGAAAGTCGACACATTGATCCGCATCAGTGAATATATCGATGGTATTCACACTTTTTCGTAGTAAATTTTTAGAGTTACGAAAACTATCGCTTGATTCATTAACATTCACATCTAAACAAATTAGACAGAAGTTTTGAATAATACGCCGCTCTGCAGATACAGTATGTAACTGTACGACAGGAATACTAGATGATGTTGTAGCGGCACTATCGCAGAAACTAGGCATTGGCTTGAATTTTTTTCAACCAGACGGAGCCGCGTACGGATTGATAATTCTTTAAATTAAAGCAATCAAGAAGTCGATGCTGGCATAGTCAAAAGAAGTGTTATTTTATTACAATATATAAAATTTATTTTCTTGTAGATTCTACTTTTGACTCTCGTGATCTTTTATTTTGTACGAATATTGAAGTATTTTGCAGTTTCTGTTGGAAATTTTTGCTATGAATAGAAAAAAAAATGAGAAAAAAAATCTATCGACAACAACATGACGAGAGAACGCAGAAAAATCAAATGGTAACAAAAGAACAACGACAATAGTCGCCAGAGTATTGTTGATGGTTAACGTGTGAGTGTTGGGCGTCAGTGTAGATATCCGCATGTGTCTGGGCATTTTATGGATGCGAGTGTGGGCTTAGGGTTACCTGGCATCGAAACCCATACCCTTAAATTAATACATATTTCTTCATTTCTTTTTAAAGCTTTATTTCTTATTTGTAAACTGCAATGTGAATGAAATAGATTGTGTGTGATTTTGTTCATTCAATAAAAATGCCTGAAAAACTCGGTTTAATGGGTTGGCATTCCAGTAATTTCAAAATAGATTAGCCATTGAAGAATGCTTAAGGAAGTTAAAGTGCAAATCTTTTGTTTTATTTTTTTGTTTTGCAATACTTTGACTTTGGATCATGATACGATAATGCCATAGGTATACAATAGAAATATCGTCGTGTCTTGAACTACTTCTATTTTATTAGAGTGAAGATTTGACATACTCTCAAATGTCCGAGTCAAAGCATTGAACAGAGACAGAGAAAAGCTGAAAATACTATCAAGATGTGAAAAAAGTCATTTTTTCAAATTTTTATAGTCTAACCACAACAAATCGATGATTGTGGTGTTCGGCATATTCCATGAGTATACCAAAAAAACGTAATATTTGGATTTATAGGTTTCTCTATACGATCTTTCGTTTGCGCTAGAAAACATCAAGAAAAAAAACATTTACTGACGACCGGCTTGGTTAATGGTCTGATGGACACTCTCTTAAGATGTTTTCGCTGACAAAAAAATAAAACTTTATTCATGATACAGAGACCAGGACATATCGAATCTTCGCATATACACTGAATGAAGATAGTTTCTACTTACGTTAACTATATCAATCGTTAGAACTTTCTTGGTTCTTGTCTTCGAACAGAATTATAAGGAACAATGTTGTCCTTCAACTTTTTTCCATCATTTTACCACTAAAAAAGCAGTCATGAGTGACGAAATAAGAAGTCAGCTTTCTTATGATAGATCTAAAAATTTGGATAACTCATTTTTGTACATCTCATTGAAGTCTCGATTAAATATACAAACATCATCTACACTATGTGATTATGCTGTAGTAGACAATTTACTATTATCTAAATATGCTTGAATCATTTTTTTTGGAAGAAGTTGTTTTAATTGTTCAAATCATAGTTTTTTTTTCTCGATCATCATTAAATAAAGTGTTCATTCCTTCTCATATTTGTTCGAATACTGATGTTCCAGTAATTTTTGAAATTAACTCCTGTCAGTCATCATAAATTTATAACAGTCATATCATATCATCTTTCTTCATATCCTTTCTGTTTATATTAAAGCTTTTATTTTCGTATAGTATATTTATATTCAAGAGTTTGTAATTTTAAACAGGTATAAGTGTAGTACATGATCTCTTCTATACAGACCTATCGTCGAATCGAATTGATGTTGTGTGGTTTTAATAAACGACTTAAAACAAAAAAAGCTGTACAAGACCTTTCATACCCGCCGTATATTAATACATTATAATGTATAGTTTTTATGCATAGAAACATGATTTCTTTGTTTTCCTATCTACCTAGATAGATGGTGGCACTTAACATCACACACTAACATAGAGAAAGCTACTAGATAAATAGAAAATAAATTAATCTTAACTTCGTTCTTATTTCATTAATAATAATTTTTTTAAATAGGTAACAAACTATTGATCGAAGAGCAATGTTAATATTTTATTATTGGATATAAGTATGTTACAGTTTACAATATTAAAGAAGAATGAGCAGAAAAAGAAAAAAAATAGTTTATTATAATAATTGTTGTTCATACATAATCTGTTGCATTAAACAACAAGAAAAACTAAAGCCAGAAACGAAACCTTGATATTTCAACAGCAATTTGAATATGAGGAAAGCAAATTTGAACCATTAAACGATATAAGGTTCAACTTTTTCGTAATCAAGTTTGCCATAAATATCGAGAAAAGTAAATTCTTTTAATTCTTTGATCAGTTGACAAATATCTTGTTCAAAGATGACCACATGTTGAGCTAAAAGAAATAGAATTATATTATTCATTTATTCTCTTTTATAAAATCTTTATATTTGTACGTATATATACCAATTGATTTAGATGTTATTAGAAATTTCAGCCATCGTGGAATGTTAGTCGCATAGGATTCTCTTCTATAATCTGGTCGAACTTAAATAAAGAAAAAGACAATGAAAATAATATGAATTCGTAAAGTACACGAGAGTTCAAATAGAAAATAGTTTCTCTTTTGAGCAGAAAATATTTTTTTTTTATTTAAAAATAACCATTTCATGTTTTATTGTAAACAAGCAACTTTTATCGCCAAGCTATTTTTTTAGTAACAAGTCGATTGATAAAACCCCTGAAGAATTCATAAAATTGAAACCAAAAGTTAGAAACCTCTTAAAAGTGCCCAGTAACTGTCCAAATAAGCCTTCCAAGGAATCTAGAATACTTCGCGAAGATTTAAACAATCAGTCGAAACTCTCTAGGGATTCGTATAGAGTGAGTAAATTAGAGTCATTTTCGTATTTGCTCAACCTCGATAGACGAATGAATATATTGTAAATGAGACTTTCATCTTCTCATTATCTTCTAATCCCGAATCACTTCGTTTTTGACCAGAAGATTTTGAAAATATTATAAATTTAATTAATAAATTGGAATAAAACTAAAAAACAAAATTACCAATATTATTAAAGGAATAAGCACATGATTATCTATCTTCTTCCTTTCTAAACTTAAAATCGATATCGAGGATATGAATACGAACAAATCAGAGAAATATATCTCCATCGAAATTCCACAATGCAATACATTTAAAAATTTTTAAATAAATGATTGTTTATTTTTTTCTATAATTACTTCATACTAACAAATAAGATGCCGTAGCTTTCATCGAATTGAATTATCCAAAAAAACTGAATCCGCTAAAAAGCTAAAGTTATTGTTTTGTTGTTTAACAAAATTCAAAAACAACATTTTTACTTCTCAAATGTCTAGTCTATGTTCTATAGTTATAAATCTTGTTTACCCAAACAAGACAATATATGAATTGAATTTACATAGAGAAAAACCAACGAGTACTTTTTTTATTCAACTTGAACTATGCATCATTATAAGAATATCTATTTCATTAAAAGCATAAATAAAATTCAAAATTAAGAAAACACAAAATAGAATGATATTTATCATAAATTAATAAGAGATTTTATTTTGATTAGTTTTGTTTATTTAAAAAAAACAAACTTACTAGATGTCCAAGGAAAATCATCTGGTTGCCAAAGACGTAATGTTTGTAAATGAGGCATATATGTGCTAAGAAAAGGTACAAGTTGTTTGCGGGTGTGGGTGTGGGGTGTGGGTGGGTGTGGGTGGGTGTGGGTGTGGGGTGTGGGTGGGTGTGGGTGTGGGTGTGGGTGTGTAGGTGTGGGTGTGGGGTGTGGGTGTGGGTGTGGATGTGGGTGTGGGTTGGGTGTGGGTGTGGGTTTGGATATAGGTAGGAAAGAAAAGAAGATCCAGACCCAGTTCCAGACCCACCACGTCCACATCCCACCCACATCCCATCCGAACCCACACCCACACCCCACACCCCACACCCCACCCAAACCCACACCTCCACACACTCATATATAATATCCATTTTCATCACAAAATTCTTCTGTACATCAGATGACAACGGTAAAAAAACAGATAGTTTACATTGGAGAAAAAGCCGTAATTGAACTACTTTTCTTATGTCTTAAGTTTTCTATTTTCGTTTGTTTTTTTACAATCACTACCACACCTATATCTGTTAACAGGTTTAGCGGAAATCATCACTCAACTTTTCACTGTCCGCACTAAAAAGTTTAATCGCTTTCTTTATCAATTTGAACTTCTATTCATATGGAATGTACATGATAATACAAGACTAAGATTACATATGATTTTATTTTTGTTCAGATAAAAATTTATATTTAAGATGTCAACGATGAAGAGAAGTCATCTATATCTGCCACGGTTGTCATAGGGTCAACATAAAAAGTGTGATTCGATCAAGATATAACTTTGAAAAATAATAATATTCATGTTTGTGAGTCGATCAAGATCGGTAATAGTTCTATAGGTTCTGTAAATATAATAAAGATTTACAACAGTGTTTTTTGCCAGTTAAATGAATGATCAAAAAAATAATAATGTTAAATTGGGAAAAATAAAATACGAAAATGACAAATAATAAGAGAATGGCAACGATGCTAAAGAAATACGAGATATTTTTCACTTTACATATTTTATATTGGTTTAATGTAGCTAACGGATATAAGTGAGTTTCACATTTCAGCTCCATGCAGGGTTGCCAGATCAAAATCTTAGAAATCGGAATTCTTTAGCTCGAATTCGGAAAATTCCGAAAAAATCACCTGTCCAATTCGGAAAAAAATTCGGAAAGTGATTTTCAAGCTTTTTGACATTTATATTTGAGTTTTTCAGGTAAAAAGGCTTTCTAAACCTGATTATTTTCTCTGCAGGTATATTATATAATACCTCATCATAATTAGAATTACTTAGGGCATACCAAAAGTAGTGACGCTGACACTTTTACTTAAGAACGGCTCGAAGAAATTTTTTTTCTATAGATAGTGGTAGCCCATATCATGCTCTATAATTTTACCACATTTTATCACTCTTCAGTTGATATGATAATAATAAAATTCTGATATCTCAAGAGTGTTTCTCCAGAGCTCCGTAGCTTCAGACTAGGTTATGCACGATCTGAAGCCGCAGCGATGACGACTTCATCACGTTTTAGCCCGATAAAAACTGATTCTGGAAGTGATTTTACGTTCAGATTAAGTTTTTTTAAGGGATACTATTGATTCATATGATAAGGTATTGTATTTTCTCTCCATTCTCTTCTTATTCATCGGAATAACATAAATTGTAGAATGATCACCAGAAAATAAACATGCCACTATATGAAATCTTTCGAAATTTTCAACAGAAAATATAATAACAAGAAAATTTTTAAAAATAATACGATTCGGAAAATTTCGGAAAATTCTCAAAAATTCGGATAAATTCGGACGGTCGGAAAGCAGTCGGAAAAAACTTCAGAATTCGGAAATTTCCGAAAAATTCGGATGATCTGGCAACCCTGGCTCCATGGAAGCTGCGCTAAAAAGCTTTTTTCTCGATTGAGAGCCTAACTGACATTGAATTGTTTGTGTCAGTTATGATCATTCTTTTTTTCCTCAGTCCGAAACTGTAGTTGGAATTCATGAAATACAAAATAAAGGTTATGGAATTAGTTGAGTATTAGAATTTTTGAACTCTTCGGCCATCCTAATTAATTCCCATTAATTTTGATGTTTATGACTTCCTTTGGATGAAACCTATCAATAGATTCAGAAAAAGCATTCCAAACTGACTACAGCTGATATAATTAATTATCGGAATTTTTGCAGCTGTGCAATACTGAAAATGTGTTATTTTATGTAGAATAAACAAATTTCGACCAATTCCTAGCGTTTCTAATTGAAAATCAAAATATGTTTAGTCTTGAGAATTATGGGTGTGGGTAATGTAGGTGTGGGTGCTCAGACAAGAAACATCCACACCCAACCCTGATTGATTAGCAGTTTTCTAAGTGTACGCACGTTCAAATTCAACAATTGTAGTGTGACATCGATAGAGTTCGGCAAGTTCTGCGAGGAAGGCTTCCATGAGCTGAGATTTACTTCACTCGACTTTTTTCATGTCGAAACTAAAATTATTTCTCTCACTATTAGAATATGATTGACTGACATCTAATGACTACGGATTAATCAATTTAAAATTGAAGCAAGCTGAAAATATTTCTTGAATAATACAACGAAGATCAAGTTATTATGCAAATGAAAAGAATAGTTGTCTTAATTGTGATCATTACTACAGTTCTTGACATGACTTACGATAAATTTCTTCAAGCTCTATGGATATTGAAAATCATTATATGCAAATCTTTTACAAGAAATTATGTATTTCTCATATATTTATTTATAGTTTAATGCAATATGCTATATTTTTCTACAGTTTATTATTCAACTCTATTAGAAGGACGTCGGATCGATACAAACAGAAAACATTTAAGCGCGAGAAAAAAACTATAATAAACGTATAAGCTAAATGTGTTACCAAACATAAGGAAACAAGATATTTGGAACATTACGTGAGTACTTCTTCCAATCTTCGCCATATCTCTTGCTACAATAATCTCCTAATTCGGGCACACCTCTTTTCGTAAAATCCCACATATGCCATGTGAATTGTAAGGCTGCTAACCAGTAATTTCCACTTGTTAGAGCCAGTCCAGTGCGCCATAGTGTGTAGCCACCGTAATTAATATGACGTGCGAGAGAAAATAAACCACCAGTATAGAGTTTGCCCTGATTTTCTGGCTTATCTTTGAATTGTTTACGTTGAAGTTCGGAAATCAGTTCAGTAAAAATACCTACAGTAAACATAGAAATGCCAACATATTGTAAACTGCCTAATTCATTCGATGGACTATAAATTAAAGATGATAATGAAGCAAGAGAATTGAGTATTGTATTATAGATACATATGGCTATCACACCAGAAAAAGATATTTTTGCTTCCAAAATGTAGGCCATGTTAATAATCTGTTTTATGGCACAGCCGGCTGCCATAATGACTAGAACTATCCCTTTAGGTCCAGCTGAAGTGGTGACAATATTAGCTTTGGAGAGAATTTGATGACCATATCCCTGAAAAAGTAAGAGATATTGCAGATATGGATCAACAGCACGCAGAAATGAGAAGACAAAACGAGAAAGAGGACTCGAATCCTTGTTTGAACGATCAAATAAACATTTTGTTATTTTTGATTGATTTGACATGACAATCTACGATATATAATAATAGTTTTTAATCTTATTCAAATGAATAATTACAAACTGATTTTGTATACTACTAATGACTTTGTTGAGGGATGATAGTTATGTTGTTGTTATTACACACATAAACGAATAAACAACAACAGTAACAACTACGATTTGCTCGTTCTGTGTATGCCTTTCAACGATAGAGAATCGGGCGTTATCGTGCATATGTTACAGAAAAATAAACACATTAAAAAAAGGCTATTGCTTCGATAGAAAACAAAAAGTAACTCACATATGCACGTGAGCGACAGTTGGCGCCAGAAATCAAGAAGAAAAAAATATTAAGATTTACAATTTTAAGAAGAGAAAGAAGGAATTTTCAAAGGTTAAAACCAGCCTTGAGTTCGATTTGCATTTATTATTCATTAGCTAAACACATCGGCGATCAGTTTATTGATTACTGATTACATTTATACAATCTATTTCTAGGCGTATTTTCTTTACTGTAGACTTGAGAATTGAGTCGAGTTATACAAACCAAGTTTTCACCGAAATTGGTTTCTAGCATTTTGCGAGACTCAAAAGTGGAAATCAAATAATAACACCTTCATTCATCCTTGTCAATTTTCAAATACCGGACAGATAAGTATACAATATCAGTCTATCAATTCAATTCAAAGATCTCTTACTATATCACATCTATTACCACTCATATCAAATCTGACGAAAATGATTGTTTCCCATGGCCTGCATAGATATGCTTCTCACAGTGAATTCTTACCATTGTTCTTCTAAAGATTGTCGCGACATGAACTTCTGGTAGTAATAATTCTGGTGTGCCGTAGAAATGTTGAAAGGAAAACTGTCGAAAATAGAGACTCCAGCAAACATGTGAGTGATGCGGTAAGTGGCGCCTCTATTTTCGCTATTTTTCCTTTCGACATTTCTAGTGGGGTGTGGCTGTGGGTGTAAGTCTGGGTGTTGGTGTGGGTGTGAGGGTGTAGGTGTGGTCATTTCTACAGAGAAACCACACTCACATCTACACTCACACCCACACCTACATCCACACCAACACCCATACCCTCACCCACACAATTCTGTCTTTTACCTTCCAATCTTGAAAAAATGCAATATCTCAAATAGAAAATTCAAGCACTTTATTGTCATTTTCAAATAAAAAAAAGCACATCAAAAATTCAATTCAAGACTTTAATTCTTCATTAAAAGCCATCTTCAAAACCAATGTTCGCTATTTTTTTTCTTGATTATTCCGTCTTATCAATTCGTCCAACCGAGATTCAAGCTTCTCTCCGATTTGCTTCACCCCGAGATGTAATGTGGTGAGTGTCTGTGCGAAAAAGTGCAGATAGGTATATGAGAGAGATGAAGAGAGAATAAGGGTCACCGTGTTATGCCATAATGCATCAGCCAGATGATGTGCTCCT